ATGCCTCATGCATCACTTTAAGCTCATTTCCTCTCATTGAACAGGAGGACAGCTGGCCAGCGTCTTCCATCTGCACTACCCTTCGCCTTCTCCGAACTGGGTTATAGAACACCCTTCTGAAATGGGAGTGGGAGGCCAATTTGAAACAGGAGAGGAAACTCTAAAAACAATATCTTGTGAGAAACAGAATTTTAAACTTAACTCTGAATGGGGCTACAGAGTAGGTCAACAAAGGGGGCCAACAAACTGAAGTGCTATTCCTTGAATAATTCAGACTAATTCTCAAACAGTATTATGGGGTCATAAAACACCAAGCCTGGAAATTAAAGATTTTTATGCCTCATCAAAAAGTCTTTGAATGTAACTTCCTGGCATACTGCCAACAAGGGCAGCTCTTTGGGGGAAAACCCTATGCCAAAGGCCAAAGAGGCAGCTGTGTTATTCAGCTCCTGAGAGCTTCCAACTCAACACCCACACAAGCTCAATTATGAACAAATTAAAGGGGTCCAGACTGAACACAGTAATTCTGGTAATTTAAATAAATAGAGAAAAGTCTACAATTAGTAGGAAAAGATTGATTTTCTCCAAAACCCAGAAGTATCCACCCAGTCTCTTAAGTGACACCCTAACCCCTTTGAATTAGCATGACTACATGCAATTATTTAAAAACAAATTTCCTTTTATTTATCATTTTAATCATTTCTGATCTCACTTAAATGTGACCACATGCATGCCAGTAAAAGTATCCACAAAATCCCAAGGCAAAGCAGCCTCAAAAGGGCTATATACACATTATACTTATAATGTATAACCAATTCAGCTTTTACTTATAATGTATACATAGGAATTAATGACACTGAGTAAAATTGTAATCAGAGTTGTACATCTACATTTTAGAGCATATAATGTGTTACCCATCTCAAGAAGTGTTTAATATACACATCTGTAGTTAATCAATAAACATTTTTGCAAGTAAAGAGAAAAATTTAGAGTCATTGAAAAAGAATCAAAGATTTAATATTGGGGAATCTATTAATTAACTCACTTTTATTTCGTGAATAGAATAAAGAACAAAATCCACATTATCAGCCAGTAAGGCCCTTAAAATCACTTATTAAAATTAAACATTCATTCTTGATTAAAAAAATAAACAATTTAATCAAAAAACTTTTAGGACGTTAGGACTGCAAAGAAACTTACGTAGCTTGATCAAATGTTTCCATGAGAAACCAATAGCAACATTATAATTAATGTGTGTGCTCTCTCTCTCTCTCTCTCTCACACACACACACCGCCCCCCCACAGTGGAAGCATTCCTATTTCATCTTGAAACTCATTTTGATTAGCTGATTGTACAGTCCATGCAGGAGAATGAGTACATATGAAGAGCCAAAGTAATTTTACAAAGGAAGAAAAATTAGAGGAAGATTATCTTGTAAGTAATCAAAATACGAAGTAATAGCAAGATAATTTAAACGGGGTGATGCTGACATGACATGGACTAATATATCAACAGAATAGCATGTCTAGAAATCCACACATCTATGTATGTATGGGAATTTACTATTCAATGTGACTGAATTTCAGATTAACAGGGAAAGAATGGAGAAGTCAATAAATGCTATTAATAATTTGCTTACTTATGTGAGAAAATTCTTCCATCTCATACCCCATGGATAAAAATATATGATAGATTGCTAAATATTTTTTAAAGCCTCTAAAAGTACCAGAAGGGAATGAGAGAAACATATAACCTAAATGTCACAAAAGAAGAAATGATGAAAATATTTGACAATAAGACTGAAACCTTTTTTATAAGAAATATCACGATGAAACTAAAAAGACAAATAATAGGTTGCAAAAAATGACTTGCATCCCATGTAACAATATTTTATAAATGAAAGAGGAAAAAATTAACAAATGGTAACATTGGCAAAGGCTATAAATAAACAAATTGCAAAATCTTAAACACAAACAACTCAAAAACCCACCAAAACAACAACAAAAGAACTGTCAATGAAGCCCACATTCCATTAAAAGGGGAAGAGAAAAGTAAAGTATAAATGAAGATTAATGAATGTAACACTACACAACTATTATAAATAAACGATATGTGATGTGGACATGCACATAGATGGGGAAGCAACTGGTGCTTTCTAGGAGCACTTACATTTTAAACTACGTTTGTGTCTGGTGAGTAGGTAAAAGAGATGGCAATAAGGAGCCTTTATTTTTCTTAATCGGAATTGTCTGTCTTTGAAAATATAATTGAAAATAAGTAAATGGAAGCCTCTCACCTTTAAAATAGCTTAAACAGATGAACAACGACTCATTAATATGCAAGTTAAAATACTAGTTTGGTCTTAGTAGCAAATGCGAAACAAACACAAGGGTTCTGATAGGGCCCATCAGCCTCTGAAGATTCCTACAGACTTTATAAAGTGAGAAATAGCCAATATAATTTAATTATGCAACAAATAGAAGGGCGTTTTTTTTTTTTTTTATTCTGAAGCATATAAAAATGCTGGTTTCCAGCTCAAAAATAGATAGCATGAATTGTATATTCATCCTAAATAGGATACTTATTAAAACGTTTTAAAGAATGTTAAAACATTTTAAAGAATCAAGATCCTGCTAGTATTATTCCTATAAACATAGTCACCTACCTTTTGAGCAAATAAATTAATCTCTTACATTGGCCTAGTGCTATATATGGAAAACGAAACTATATACAATATTCTATTCCCCTAATGAAACAGAAAAGACACTTTCAAATGTTTACCATTGGGGTATCACCTAAGTGAATTTCACATTGAGAAGGTCAACACGTTTGTTAGGCTCCCTGATTGTTCTGGGGAGAAGGGATCAAAATGGTAGTAGAATGCTGACCCTCAGGGTCTTCTGAAAGACTGTTGGCTTTAGCCTGGTACTTCTTGGAAAGGACCAAACTTTGATGATTACTCTAAACTTGTTTTTACAGCATGCTACTGAGTATTTCTGCTGCGTGGTGCATTTTAGCCAATGCTTTTAGTTGGTACTAGGGTAAATAGCTCATAACCTGACCAATTTTGTAAAATGAATTAACCTTACTATTATTGTTGTCATTTATGGCATATGTATAAAAATGCAAAGAATGACTGCTAACTACATATATTTTGCTAGGACTATTTCAGTTTCGAAGAGAAAACTCAAAATACAGTTTTTGGTAATAAAAATGTTAACAAAATGGCTGGACCCAGTGGCTCACGCCCTGTAATCCCAGCACTTTGGGAGGCCGAGGTGGGTGGATCACTTGAGGTCAGGAGTTCGAGATCACCCTGGCCAATATGGAGAAACCCCCTCTCTACTAAAAATACAAAAAAAAAAAAAAATTAGCCAGGTGTGGTGGCAGAGGCCTGTAATCCAAGCTACTCGCAAGGCTGAGGCAGGAGAATCACTTGAACCCGGGAGGCGGAAGTTGCAGTGAGCCAAGATCACACCACTGCACTCCATCCTGGGAGACAGAGTGAGACTCCATCTCAAAAATAATAATAATGATAAAATTAAAATGTAAATAAAAATACTGATTATGGACATGCCTTAGGTTTTATTTTTTGCAGGTTTCATAATATTTTTTTCTCTCTTAATTTACAATGGGTGCTGTTTTTTCTTTTTAGAACCATAATAGTGGCTGCTTTAATTAAATGAGAAAAACAGAAATATATTTCTCTCCTCAAAAATAAGAGCGGTTTTGATCCATTCATCTTCTTTATAGAGAAACTGGGAAGACAGAACAGGAAATGTTTATCAAGCACTCTATAAAAATGAACTGCTCTTTAAATTATTAGTAATAACCTATGTCACTGTCACAAATTATTCCTTTGGTTTGTCAAAGGTTCATGCTTGAGAAAATACTGTTTCTGACCAGTGTTCAAGACAGCTTCCTTGTTAAGGTTTCTATCTGTCTCTTACTATAGGCGATTACAGCAAATGCATCCCAGTGATTTAGTTACTTTATACAAAATAGAATCAATTTATCTTGTTTCATCATGATTGAACGTTTTTCTGAACTCCTGTAAATGAATAACAGATAAGCCCTATTTATCAGATTGTTTGGTGGAGCGCGCACTTTTGATTATTCTATTTTCTCATTGTTACTAATGAAATATATAATATGCCTCGAGAAAAAACAATTGCAAAGCTTGGCCTCTAAGCATTCACGAGGCAATGGATATTTTGCTGAGAATTTATTCTGTACCCATACTTTTCTCTAATAGTGTTCTCTCTAAGAGCCCATGGGAGGGCAGTGATGCTCTAGGGTATATGAGATGTCCCAAGGCTTTCAGAACACAGTTGACAGGGGCCCTTGCTCTGCCCTAGCACCCAACAGTCACCAAGAAGTTCCCCGTGGTGCTGAGAACCTCAGTGAGGTTGTTCAGGCATGGACGGGGGTACCTTGACACCCTCAGTGTGGCAAGCCCAGAAGACCCCCTTTCCCTCCAGTGTCACAGGATTTGGGGATGGGCATTTAAAAAGCTGAATTTTCTGCACTGCTGCCATCCCTATCCATCACACATGGATAGGAATAGAAGGATGTGAAGCACTAAGGCAAAGGATGCTTTGAACCACATGATTTTCCCAGGCTCTGCAACAGGTATGCCCGCACAGACTGGAAATGCCCTGGCAGAAGCAAGGCTGCAAATGCAAAGGCAGATAGACAAGGGAAAGATGCCTCTGGAATTCAGATCCTCCAGAAGGAATCATTTTTGTGATCTATAATGGGAAGATAGTTTATAGATCATTTTGTAAAAATAAATCACTTCTCTTTGTTTCACAAAGTGGGTAATTACAATTAAATGTGTGAAGAGATAGGAAGGTGAGATGGCCATTATCCCTTCCTCTAGGTTTCTGCAGACCTTGTTCCCTGAGGTTTGAGTTGAAGAAACAAAACCAGGACATTTGGGAAGATAAATGGGCTAAGGCTGGAGAGCTGACCTGGATGTCACCTCACCCTTGCTTACCAAGGTCCATGCTCTTCGAGGCTTTCAAATTAATTGATTCAGGCTGCCTGGCCGGTGTCACAGATCTGAAGTTGATGTGCTGATCTGGAAAATATACTGCTGAATCCACCCCAGAGCTGTGGAAGGAAGCCATATGTTGTATTTAGGTTTAGAATAAAATATTTTTAAAAATGAGGAAGCAGTTCTCATTTTGAACACAGCCACTCATCACTCTATGCAACTCCCAACCACATATTTTAAACTAATTCCTAAATCTCAGGTTTCTTTTATGAGATGTAGCAACTCTGTTTTCATGTATTTTACCATACTGTACAATTTAAATAAAATATTCTCTGGGTAATATCGTGTTTTACACTTTACTGATTTCTGCTAATTGGGATCCTGCTGTACACTACATAACTTTAAGTGGATAAAGAAGGCCTGGAAAACACTAGCACTTCAAGAGATGTCACCAGATATTAGCAGAGTCCAAAAGCAGGTTAAGGGATTTCTGTGGACTAAGCTATGCCTATTTTAAAAAACAAGTGAAAGGGTTATATCCTTTAGAGAAGACCATCCTGTTGAATGACTGATGCCTGTAGAAATTTGGTTTTCTACTTTATTTAGGTCTTTTTTCTAAAACGAATGTTAACACTGAGCAGATAGTCTGCACATCAAAAGTACAAAAAGGAAATAATAGGAAAAGCACAGTTGACAATTTAGACACAAGATACATCAAATGCCCATTATAGTTTTCTTAGTACTTGTAGGCAATCTCAAATAACTTTCTTTCTGCAGAATATTCTACTTATTTCACTTGACCATACAGGGTATTATGTAAGAGAATTACAGACAATGACTTATTTCTTGTTCTATAAATAAATTATATTTATATAATTTTAATAAACTAAATTATAGCCATTTTCTCCCCTCGGCACTCTCATCTGTTTAGAAAGTAAATATGGTAGCTCATCTCATCATAATTGCTATCCTAATCTCAGATATAGTGAAAATCCAAATCATGTATCCTTACAAAATCTGAAACTATTGAGTTGTTCAAACGGTTGGAGTTTGATACTATAAACAACAAAACAATAGCAAAAATAACTGTTTTGAATGAGGATCCTTCTAAAATGTACAGGAGAATCTCAACCTGAAATACCAAAATAAGTTTAATCTTTTCTTGAAACTCATCATCCCTCCATATTCAATATTGCTTTTGAGAAATATTAAAATTAGTATGCAACAATAATAGTATGGCCAAATGAATAAATGAACCTCCATTTTCATAATGCAGTGGGTAGATTAAGGAAGTACTTGTTTAGTCAGGTGTGGTGGCATGCACCTGTAGTCCCAGTTACTTGGGAGGCTGAGGATGGAGGATCACCTGAGTCTAGGAGTTTGAGGCTCCAGTGAGTTAAGATCGCACCTCTTCCCTCCAGCCTGGGTGAAAGAGGTAGACCTCATCTCCCCTACCCTCCCCCAAAAAGGAAGTACCCGTGACACCAGCACAGCCCTGTGCTTAAGAGCCTGGCTCCAGTACTTACTAGCTGTGTCAATTAAGAGCCTGGCTCCAGTACTTACTAGCTGTGTCAATTAAGAGACTGGCTCCAGTACTTACTAGCTGTGTCAACTAAGAGACTTACTGGACCTCTCTGGGCTTCAATTTCCTTATGTATAAAATGAGTAAAATTACACTCTCCACCTCATAGGGTTGTTGAGAGAACAGAATGAGTGAAGATTTGTAAAGTAAGGACATTAGTGTCTGGTACAGAGTATTTTGTATAGAAGCAGATAAATTAGGTAAGTTAACAAATAAGCAGATCAATAAATTGACCTACTTTTGCTTCGCAAAACACTGTAAGTTTCTGAGTATTTCCCATTACCTGTGTTTTTTACAGTTTCTTTGATGTCTCTGTTTTTGTCAGACTCTCAGTAAGTCTGTGACTAGGAGCGCTTTTCTCTATTTAGAAGGGTGATGTGGTTTGATGGTTAGGAGACTGGCCGCTGCAGGAAAATGTCACAGTGAGTGGCCTCAGTTTCCTCATTCATAAAATGGATAGGAATAGAATTTATGACTCTTTAAAATTTTTGTAAGATACGTAAGTTATGTTATATATTGAGAAAAGTACCTAGCACATAGTAAGAGCTTGATCAACCTGAGCTACTAACAATCCTTTTCTTTATTTTGTAGGTTAGTGTGGTCTTTGAATGAGGGCCTAAGGCACTCGCCGATGAAAAGATTTCACATGTTTTCACAAAAATTTCTCAAGAAGTTTAAATCCTCTCTTTAGAGTTATGTAGCTTTTTTCCTATGTCTTTCCTGGTGTCTGGGTACATTCTCAATACATGAAACCATTGATATATAAAGTATATTACATATGGTATCTAGTAATGACAAAATATGCCAATTGTGAACACAAATCCTGGACCTACTTAGTGTTACTGACACTAGCCTGGCCTAATAGCAACACTTTCATTTTTTCAGCCCATTTTAAAGAAGAATTCTGAGACATTACTGCACAGGATGAGCTCTCACCTGAGTCTTGGAGTTTGGAAGCACTTGCCTTTAAATGTGTGATTCGACCTTTATTTGCACTTAAGTTTTCCATCCTTTGATCTGTTGTGATGATGTGGGTTTAGTGTCAGAAAGACTCATGGCCTTCATAGTATCAAAAAGTTTAAGAGCTGAAAGGGATTAAAGGTCACCTCATCTCTTAGATAAGACCCTGAGGCTCAAAGAGGAGGATTGGCGTTCCAAGGTCACACAGCTGGCCAGGGGCAAAGCTGGGACCAGAGCCACAAGCTCTGGCTAAAATGGTGGCCAGCCTGGGACACAGGTTGTTGCTGATTGCGAACCCGCAGAAGTCAAGCCTTTCACTTTTAGTGAAGACTTGCTCACGTTTTATTATGTGGCTTACATTTCAGGCTTGTTTTTTGTTTCAATAGAGTGGTGTACATCATGCAATAATAGAAAACTAAATCCTTAATCAAAGCAATGAAAGCCTCCAGGGAGGAGGTGTAGGACCCTCATTAAAACATAGGTCAGGCCGGGCGCGGTGGCGCAAGCCTGTAATCCCAGCACTTTGGGAGGCCGAGACGGGCGGATCACGAGGTCAGGAGATCGAGACCATCCTGGCTAACTAACACGGTGAAACCCCGTCTCTACTAAAAAATACAAAAAACTAGCCGGGCGAGGTGGCGGCGCCTGTAGTCCCAGCTACTCGGGAGGCTGAGGCAGGAGAATGGCGAGAACCCGGGGGGCGGAGCTTGCAGTGAGCCGAGATCGCGCCACTGCACTCCAGCCTGGGCGACAGAGCGAGACTCCGTCTCCAAAAAAAAAAAAAAAAAAAACATAGGTCAGACTGCATTTAAAGTGCTCTGCTCAAGGCAGACTGAGAATCTACCCAACTGAACAATGTGTTGGTGAACCTGACTCATTGTCTTAGATTATCCTCTTAAGCCCGGCATTAATTCACAAATTAGGAATCAGAGCTCACATTTTCCCAGACTTCTAGGTAGCAATAATCCCAATCCCCATTTAAAAAGTAAGGTGGCAATGACACTCAATGCAGTAACATCAAGCTAGGATCTATCTAATAAAGTGAATTTTTATACAAATGTTGGCATATAATCAAGAAAGATCAAAGAGATAAAAGGCTGCACTATACATATGAAGGTAACAAATGCTCTTATGTACACATCTGATTATGTCCTTTAAATTGATCATAATGAGATATCTACATATCAATCTATATACATACACATATATGTTACCATCATTTTGACTGTGACCAAGTGTACACTTTGAAAACCTTTCATAAAAGGGCCCCCTTTGCTGTGGTACAAAACAGAAATAAGGCAAAATAAGGCTGATATCAGATTGATGGATATTAAGGGGGTAAGTGAGTGTAATATAAGTCATCATAGGATTAGAGCCAATGTGGGCATATAGAGCACTGGAATAATGAGTGAGAGCAGTATTGAGTTAGTTCATGCGAAAATATTTTAGACATGTAAGTTAGACTAGTAAAATGGTTTGTAACTTTATGATACATATCTCAAGTATTTGGATTGAGAGGGTGACACGATGATTATAAAATGCAACATTTTAATTTTGAAGGGAGTTAGCCTGTGCTCATGGCTGAGTGCGCTGCAGTGAAGGTTGTGGGAAGCTGGAAGTTGACAGCAGGCCAAAGACATGTCTTAGATAAAGGCCATGTTTTCAGCATGAACAACCAGGGAATCTACCGAATAGAAACGATACTCAACGTCAAATTATGCTGCCTAATGAATAAGTAAGGGTAGCATGAAGCATATGCCAGTGTCTTGACTATGGTGACAAACCAGGAATGTAAAAGATGTGTAAGAGTCAACAATGAATGTTCAAGAACTGTCTGAGATGAAAAGGTGGGGGATGAAGTCTTTGAGAGGCATGACAAAAACCATGAAGTCTGAAGTCTCAAGTGTCCACAGATGGACTTCAACAATTGGCTACTACGAGTGACAGTAGATTCAGGTATGTGCGTGAAGAAACAGACAGAGACAGACAGAGAGAGAAAGAGAATATGAACATGTGGGGAATAGCCCAATGTTGTCTAAACTGTTAATATTCAATATATTCTGTCTGCTGCTTATTTAGCTTCAACTCTGCCTGAGATCCCACAGTATGTTTATTTCCTTTATATTTATTTATTACTTAGACCCACATATTATAAACTTTTTTGTAATAATCACTGCATAATAGTAAAAATAGGTTCAGCAATTTCCCAATTTCATTTTGTACAGGCATTAAGTTTGATCAAATTTGTTTTTCATTCCTCATGCCATAGATAGCCTCACCCCTCAAACACCCTTTTTTCCTTTGAGTGGGCTTTTACTTTTTTTTTTTGAAAGGCAGAAGGCAGGAGAGCCTTTCTTGCTCAATCCTCCTGGCTCCCTTCCAGTCCTTCCTCCATCCCAAGTTTCACACATCCAACTCCTGCTGCTGCTGGTCACCTAGGCAACGCAGCAGCTTGCAGGATGGTGCAGGTCACACGATCCTAGGAGGGGAGTTTCAAGGCTTAAGACTTGGTCTTTCTATTTTAAAAATATCTCTGTCCTTTCTTCTCCACCCATGCTCCTGATCCCTCCATCCAGGCCCTGTTCTTCTCTTGCTAGTCCCAAGTCTAAGTGGCCTCCTTGTCTATGGTGGCTTCTGCTATTCCCTCCATCCTCCATTACTGAAACTGCTCTGCCTGATACTGTCATCTCCAGGCTCAAAGTGCTTCAATGCTTCTCCACTACTCTCTGGAGAAGCCTGGCACCCATGGAGCAGGCAGACGATGCCATTCCCATTGAGTCTTCCCTGAGATACCACAAGTTTTAGCCACACTGAACACACTCTGCATTCTTCTCTCCTATCACCTGGTTTCCTTAACCTAAATTGCCCTTCCCACCACTTCTTTGTCTAGATAGCTTTGTTCTTTTTTCCAAGAAACTGCTCAAACACTACTCTCCTGTGAAAACTTACTTGACAACTCCAGACAAAGTTAGCAGCTTCTTCCTCTAGGCTCCCATTGCATTTTGTATCTAATGCTTAGGGGCTGCATCCTAATTATCTGTGTGTCTGTCTCTTTAAGAGGACGCTGCATTGCTTGCAGGCAGGGATGCTTTCCAATCCGTTTGATTTCTTTCTATAGTGTCTGGCTCAGAGCTCCAGAAATACTTTTGAATGAATGAGTAAGTGAATGAATGACTTAATAACCAAATACTGCAGAGTGGAAAAGAAGAATGAAGTCTAAGACAATGTCATACTTTCTACTGAAAGGAGATTACTGTTGATGATTAAGAGAGCAGTTCTAATAAAGAAGTGAGAACAGAGGCCTAAAACACAGGGGACTAGGAAGGAAGAGTGAAAAGAAGATGGAAGTTACTAGTTCATACCATGTAATGAAGATTTACAGCAGTGAGGACCAATATAAACTTTTTTCTTTCCCCAATTCACAAAGGAATGGCTTTGCAGAAAAGGGAAGGGAGAAAATCCATGGAGACTTTGAAGCCAAAAAGGCAGTTGCTAAATCCCAAATGATCTCTGAACCACCGCCCTCCCCTGAAGGTTTCTCACCTGAGTGCTTCTCTCTAGTCTCCCCTGCATAGATGCTCAGTACCTCTGACTGCAATTGCCCTAAAAGGTATCCAAAGAGTCTCTGGCTTCCAGGGGATATCAACCTTCTTCCATTCACCCAATCCATGTTATACACACACACAAAAATCCAGGTTTCATTATGTGTATTCCCTGCTAAAACCCTACAATAAGATTTACTATCTACCGAATGAAGTCTGTATACCTTACTCTTGCACTCTGGGCTTTATCATCTGGCTGATCAGCCCCAAGTTGTACAAATCAATTTACTCTCTCATCTCCACGCTGTTTCTTCTGCTGCCCTTCCCTCCCAAAATGCCCTTTCTCCCTGGGCTCATCTCATGTACACCTGCTATTAATGAGTTAGGGTTCAGCTTAAATGACACTTTTACCATAGCATTTTCTCTGATTCCTTTATCTGGAGGCATTCTCTTAGGCCTCAGATGCCCAGAGCATTTTATCTACACCTTCTGGTAAGTATCATTGGAACCCTTGTGTTCCAGTTGTCCCATGAGTCTACCTGTCAGCCTACCAGCTTCCTGAAGACAGGGTTTATATCTGATTCAGCTTTGCACCATCCCAATCATTTTGCACATATATACAGAATAAACAGTAAGGTAGAACAAATGAAATTATGTTTTAAATAGCTTTTCTTAATGCCAACAAAATGTCATTTTCAATTCAGAATTGAGCACGCAATGGAAATGAATGGACAAAATTAAATAGGTCCACATTTTCTTTCATGAAACCCCTAGAGATACTGATCTAGAATATTATTGTGATTATCAATCTAGTTCACGAAATTGTAGTTAGCAAGATAACTGACTTCAAAAGTATAAGAATCAGAGATGGCTAAATATAGGTGAGCTTCCACCTAATAGAGTTAGCTATACTCTTGGCATGCTGCTTTATTTTTAGCAGACTGTATTAAAAAACATAATAGGAATGACACTAGCATTGCTGAAAAAAAAAGAAGAAATTTCACAGGATTATCATGGGACACAGAATGGAATAAAACACACAGTTTCTAACAGCCATAATAAATACAGAAAATAGCAAAGGGACAATTTAATGATTTTTAAAACTCATCAGAAGAACAAAATCTATGAATTCCCCTAGTCAAATAGTATACATGCTTAGTAAATCTCTCTCATGCTTGTGTGATTCTGAAAATTATTGATTTTTTTAGTTTCTATTACAGAATGGATATAATATTGGGTACCCTCTTCAATATTTTAGATTATAGATGGTGTTGCTTTAATGTTTAGATTCCATTAACTTTCTTGGAACATCTATTTTTAAAATACCTTCAGGGTTTGCCAATTACTCATAGAACCCCGTAAGCTTCCCATTTTCTCAGTTTCGTTTGATACCTTCCCATGTCACTTTTCTCTGAGCTCCATGGCTGTAGTTTTTAAATTTGTAAAAGAAAGTTCAACCGTTCTCTTAAATATTTTAATAATTTAAGGTGAATCTTAGCAAACACCAGAAAGCAAAATATGCCCAATCTAAGCTATTAGCTATGAGAAACTTTCGCTGAAGCATTTGCTGGAAAGGAATTATAGATACTATAAGATTTCCATTCCAGAAAGAAATAGAGTTAAAGTAAGTTTCCTGAATAAGGTTGCTGTGTTCTCCCAGAAAAACAATAACGAGGAACATTTACGATATATCATTTTATCAATACCTGTGACTGTAATCTTCGAGGCCCAATTCCAGAGCAGAATGTGGTGTTGGAGAAGGTGGAACTTCACTCTCGGTCCATCCGTCATTGGGCAGCAATAGGTCTATAAACAAAGAACAAATGAAGCTGTATAAAGTGGAGGCAGAATCATTCGATGCCTGGTTTGATTTCAGTATCTCTCTCAGACACAGTTTTAGCCAACACATAAACCAGCCCTGAAATAAATAAGTTCTCACACGGAACTGAAGGATCCTTATGAGAATGAATGCCTCTTGTGTGAGGAAATCTAAGCCTTCTAATATGTTTTTACACTGGTGACCTGCAGGCAACCCCTAGCAAACCCACTCCACGCATCTTGACTACCTTTTCCCACCAACAAAAGGCTGACACATACTCATTACCTGTGATCTGTGGAAGATTAACAAAGTCATCTGTTTTATACCTTAACAGTTTTGTAAATAAGACTCGATAGTGAATACTGTGGATTATATGGTGATTAAAGCATTTGCTTCAGTAGCAAAAACTTCTTTTAAAAAATCATGAGATATAATATATCTGTTCACCATCTAGACATAGGAGAGGTAAACACACACACACATCCTCTTTTTTTCTATCTGTGCCATAATGGTGACACCTGAGTTTAAGGCCTTATAAGGAAAAGACAGGGGTCTAAATCCTGGTTTTCCCACCTACTAAAAATGCATACTTTTCCAGTCTATTCTGTACTAGAAAAATAGATATGTACCTCTAACATCACCACAACTAATAACAAGTAAAGTTGTTGAGATCTTATTGTATAGCAGATATTATATTAAGCCTTGTACATTATTTCATTGAATGTTCATAATTTCTAACCATATTCACTAGTGTATGAAAAGCAACATCCTGGTTAAGTGTATGGTTTTTGGAGCAAGACTGCCATATTTCCAACCCTACTGCTGTGTGAACTTGGCCAATTACTCCACTTCTCCAAGCCTCAGTTTTTAAAGCCATAAAGTGGCAACAAGAATACCTTTACTGGAGGAATATGAGAAATAAATTATATTTAAGCAGTGATTTGTAAATGCAAACTGTTAAGTAAACATAGGATTTTGATTCCATAGATTGTAAGTTCTACTTGTATCTATTACAGTGACATAGTTGGTAAGATGTGTACCTGATTTGTCCCTGAATGACAGAATAAGAGACAAATCTCTCTACCCTTGAGAACTGCTGTTGGTGACAAAACCTGCTTTGGATTGTCCACGTGCTGGATATGATGGTTAATTTTATATGTCAACCTGACTGGGCCACAGGGTACCTAGATATTATTCTGGGAGTTTCTGTGAGGGTGTTTTTAAACAAGATTCACATTTAAATAAATAGATTGCCCTCTCTAATGGGGTGGGTCTTGTCTAATCACTTGAAGGCATGAATAGAACAAAAAGACTGCCTCTTTCCTGAATAAGAGAGAATTCCTCCTGCCAGAGTGACTGTGACATGGGACATTGGACTTTTTCTGTCTTCAGACCCAAATGGAAACATCGGCGCTTCCTCAGTCTCAAGCCCATTTGCCTTCAGACTGAAACCACACCATCAGCTTTTTTGGTTCTCAGGCCTTCAGACTCAAACTGCACCATCAACTCTTCTGCAACCCCAGCTTGCTGACTCACCCTGCAGATCCTGGGATGTGCCTATTTTCAAGGTCATGCGAGCCAAGTCCTTATCATAAATCAGTTTATACACACACACACACACACACACACACACACACACACACACACACACTTGGTTCTGTTTCTCTGTAGAACCCTGATAAATACACAAGGCAAGGACTTGTTCCAAGCTTTGCCCCAGGCACTAGACTGATGTGGAGGTAGTTGTAGCACTGCTGACATGGCCCTGGGAATGAAACTTGAAGCAGATCTGCTAAGTAGGTGACCAGGGGGAAAGTAGCCCAAAGGCAGCCTGCACTGTGTCCCTGCACCACCTCCAACCCTAGGAGTCCATTGATTTGGTAGTGGTGGCGGCAGTCAGGCATTCAAGACTTGCTAAGAGAAACAGAGCAGAAGGACTGTAATGTAAATTGGGAACAACGGACATCCTAGGACAACTTCCTTTCTGCTGGCTCTCATCTTCTATCCTCAACCTCTCAGTCCATCTTCCACAGTGGGGGTGAACATACTTGTGATCATGTAACTTGTTGCTCAAAACCACTTCAGCTGCACACATTGCTTATGGAATAAAGGTCTATGATCCTGGCAAACAACTTCATCCCCCACTATACGTTAGTTTACCATTCCCTGACCACACCCCTGTGTGCTCCTGCCTCAGTATCTTTGCTATGTAACTGCAAAACCTACTCTACCCGTCAAAGTCCTACCCTTCTCCCAAGGTCCACCTCAGATATCACATTTACTATGAAGCCTTTGCTGTTGCCAAGGATCTGTCACTTTTATAACAGTGGCCGAGAAGATCAGTGCCCACTCTATCTGTGCTCTTCCTCTCTTTCTAGGCATACAGCTGGACACCACTGCTTGGGCCTCTTTGTCGCTAGACTAGTTCTTGCAAATGGAATGTGAGCTGCTATGATAAGTGTCATTCCCAGGCTCAGTGGTTATGAGAGGGTGCACCTTCCTCACTCTCTCTTCCTTTCCCCGACTATATCACCTGAAAGCCAGGTGACGAGGTGCCCAGCCACCAGGGGAAGGAGCCTAGGTCCTGTAATGACTGCATGGAACACAGCTGCCAAACCTCATTGTGCAGTGATAGGACCAGGAAATAGACTTTCACTGTCTGTATCTATCCAGTGACACTTTAGGTTTATCTGTTAATTCATATTAGGTAAAGTAATCCTTGGATAGCATATATCAAATACCATTTCTGCAATGAACTATGTATGTATGTATTGTTCTATCAAGCTATTATCTATTTATCTACATCTGTTTCTTTTACTAGACTGTAGATAACTTTCTCCTCATGTTCCTCTTTCTCGTTTTCCATGTCTTCTACAGCCTCTTCTCTGGCTAGTTTTATTATAATCATTAAATTTAATTTTTATTACACACATATGAATGATTTATGGTTCTTTATGTGTTTATGTGTTTTGTGTGTGTGTGTGTGTGTGTGTGTGTTTAAGTGGTGATCAGTGCAGAGGTAAGTATCTTGCTTGTTGAGGTAAGTATCTTATTTGTTGACTCTATCCTTGTTACTTTTTTTTTTTTTTTTGAGACAGAATATCGCTCTGTCTCTGAGGCTGGAGTGTAGTGGCACCATCTCGGCTCACTGCAAGCTCCGCCTCCCAGGTTCATGCCATTCTCCTGCCTCAGTCTCCTGAGTAGCTGGGACTACAGGTGCCTGCTACCATGCTCAGCTAATTTTTCGTATTTTAAGTAGAGAAGGGGTTTCACTGTGTTAGCCAGGATGGTCTCGATCGCCTGACCTCGTGATCTGCCAGCCTTGGCCTCCCAAAGTGCTGGGATTACAGGCGTGAGCCACCGCGGCCCCCCCCTTGTTACGTTTTCTTAAACAACATATTTGGATGCTGTAAGGAATTTTTATTTTCCTCTGGGCCCAAACACCTTTTTTAAGCCCTTGTTTCAGTGTAAAAGTCTGGAATTCTTATCTCCTGTAATAATATTTCTGGATTTCATTGAGTGTACGAGGTACAGTCTTCTTGACGGTCATTTCATATATATCTATGCCTGTAAATGTTGACATGGCACCCCCTGTAGTCATTACTTCATTGATGGCCAAATGGCTCTTCTTTTTAATTATCATCTTTTGTTGTTATCTGAGTTGTGGGATCTATCCCACCAAGACCATATCAGAAAAGAATTTGTAAAAGAGATTGTAACTTTAGACAAAAGGTCAGCAGGCTACGGCCCTGGTCCAAAACCACCTTGCCACCTGCCTTTGCAAATAAAGTTTTACTGAACAGCCATGCCTATTTGTTTATGTATTGTCTATGAGTGCTTCTGCTCTACAATGGTAGAATTGAGTGGTGACAGAGACCTACAGTCCAAAACCTGAAATATTTACTTTCTTGCACTTTAAAGACAAAGTTTTTTGACTCCTGCTTCTGACTATTCTTAAGGACAATAATACTATTGCATTCACCTTTCCACTCCTGATAGTATATTCTGCACAATGGAGGTATCCAATAAACATTAGCCAAATTGAAACGTATAATTCAATCTTGGATAGTCATTCCAGACATAGTGCTTTACATGCTACAGAGGGGTAGATACTTGCTGGTCCCCAGGAGGATACACATTAGAAATAATTCTACTATGATGTGTCTCAGAGGACCCCAGGGAATATGGATCCAGTGAGACAGGTCACAGAACCACAACATTTGATTTGAGATGGAGATAAAAGGCCTAACTCAGTGGGTGATACTAAGCAGACTTGGGGGCAGTGGGTGTCTAAGACAGGATGCACTTGAACTGAAAGAGGAAAAGCAGGAGAAGAGCTATATGGGGGAGACAAGTGCAGTGAAATGAAAGGTAATGCTAACCAGAGGCAAACTGCATGAGGCGATCCCTCGGCCTAGGGTAAGATCTGCCAGCAAGATTCCTCAGAAAATACAGTGTTGGTGTATTTCATTACCATTCAAATGCTTAATAGGATTTTATAGTAAACCCTTGGGACACAACCTCCATCCCTATTACCATCTTGAAGCACCACACTTATTTCACTACAGGCATTGCTAGCAGTTCTTCAGTATAAATGTGAATTTTCTGGTGCTATGATTTCTACAAACATTAGTTCTAAAAATGCCTTTTTCTGTGTAACAGCTTGGCAGGAATAAAAAATAAAATAAAATAACCAAGAACTGTGGGTGGTATGTATTATTACTACAAAAATAAATGGAACACAGAATATCAACATTGGATTTTTAAATATACAAAGGAAAGAAAAAAAAAGTCAATGTTTTGGCTGTAACAGCTCCTCTCCTCACTAGACATTACACTTTGTCAAGTTAATCTTGCTTTTCTAAAGAAGATCCCTGAAAAAATTGGTAATGGCAGTCAACACTCAGGTTTTATAAGCCTTAGTGGCCTGTTACCATCTGACATGGATCTGAAACTCAAGAACTCCCAATAGTCCCCTAAATATAAAATGTCATTAATATTAAAAAGAGGTGATGGCCATGATACTCTTTTATAGCATCATGTTTATAAATTCTGCTATAATTTTTTTGTCTCTAAATCAATAGGCTTACATAAAAAGTAAGAAAATTTCATCTACTGGTCTCTAACAATGAAAATGTAATGAGTCTGTGTTTTGATAGGCCTAAATCTTATAATCTAGTATTGTTGCACAGATATACAAAGAAAATATAAGAATAGATTTTCTCTACTTTTGAAAAAATAATGTTTAATGGAGTCACTTCTTAAAATAAATACATTTGTTATGCTAAGTTGAAAAATTGAGGTGGGGAAGAAAGAGAAACAGGAAACTTGCAGATAGTTAATTTATATATTTTTTTCACTGATGTAAAAATTGTTCTAATTAAATCTATGTCCTGGGAAGAAAAGAACAGACAAAATCTCCCAGTGGTTGTCTGGGGCCACTTGGGCCCAAAGGACTCTATTTGTACCGAAGATATACAAAGTCTGAACGTTCTATTGAAGTTCCAGATGAAATTATTACTGTACTGTATTTTCAGCAAGTGCATGGAATGGATTTTCTTATTTATTTATTTTTTTTCTGGATGTATCCTTACACATTAACTACTTCTATGGTTTTATTAGTTTAGCCTTTGCTATTCTTTGCAGAGATATTATTTCATTTACTTAAGTATCTCAATGTCTTCTGAAAATACATCGTGTGTCACTTAATGAGGATATATTCTGAGAAAAGCACCGTTAGGCAACTTTGTCCTTGCATCAACATCATAGTGTACTTACTTAAACCTAGAAGGATTAGCCTACTTACTCTTGTAAGCTCTATAGTATAGCTATTGCTCCTGGGCTACAATCCTGAACAGCATTTATTGAACATTGTAGGCAATTACAACACAACGGTATTTGTGTATCTAAACAGAAAAGCTACAGTGAAAATACAGTATAAAAGATAAAAAATGGTACACCTGCATAGGACACTTACCATGAATGGAGCTTGCAGGACTGGAAGTTGCTCTGGGTGAGTCAGTGAGTGAGGATGTACTAGTAAATTTGAAGGCCTAGAACACTACTGTACGCTACTGTAGACATTATAGACACAATGCACTTAGGTTACACTACATTTCTAAAAAATATTTTCTTTCTTCAATAATCTCCATAACTTTGTTACTTTATAATTTTGAATTTAACTTTTTGAATATTGTGTAACAACAGCTTAAAACACAAACACATTGAACAGCTGTAGAAACATATTTTTTCTTTATATCTTTATCCTATAAGCTTTTTCTATTATACCTTTTTTAACCTTTTAAACTTTTTTGGTAAAAACTGAGACACAAACACACATTAGCCTAGGCCTAGATAGGGTCAGGATTATCAATATCACTGTCTTCTACCTTCACATCTTATCCCACTGGAAGGTCTTCAGGGGCAATAACAGGCACAGAGCTGTCATTTCCTATGATAACAATGCCTTCTTCTGGATACCTCCTAAAGGAACTGCCTGTGGCTGTTTACAGTTACTTTTTTATAAAAAATAAGTAGAAGTGTACTCTAAAATGATGATAAAAAGTATACTATAGCATTAGGAATTTTTCAGCTCCATTATAATCTTACGGGACCACCATGATATATGTGGTCTGTTGTAGACCAAAATGTCATTATGTGGCACATAACTGTACTTTACAGATACTAAAAATGAAACAAAAGGTACTTACTGTTCATTTAGATGTCATTGGTGTAACTAGGAATTAAACTCTAGACTTAGATAGACACTGGGCCACATGTTGCTAGAGAATTAAATGCCAATCAAGTTTTATATAAAGTCTAGATATTTTAATACAGATGTCCACATTCATGATCATAAGGTAGAAAGAAGGCTGTTTTATTTTGCAGACAACTTGCCATTCCTTTCCCAGGCTCTTTTGCTATTGCAATTTAAGATTTCAGAAGGCAATCTTGTTCTGTCAAGAAAACTTTTAATTTCTTTTTTTTTTTTTTTTTTTTTTTGCGACGTAGTTTCCTTGCTCTGTTGCCCAGGCTGGAGTGCAGTGGCACGATCTTGGCTCACTGCTAGCTCCGCCTCCCGGGTTCACACCATTCTCCTGCCTCAGCCTCCTGGGTAGCTGGGACTACAGGGTGCCCGCCACTATAATTTTTTTTTAGATGAGAAAAGACAAAATATTGAGTATTTTTAAAATCTGTATGCTAAGTAAAGTCAGCTTCTTCTTTTTTTTTTTTTTCCCCTGAGCAGCTGGGATTACAGGCATGTGCCATCACAACTGGCTAATTTTATACATATATATACACATACACACACACACTTTTTTTTTTTTTTTTTAAGTAGAGACGGGGTTTTGCCACGTTGGCCTTGAACTCCCGACCTTAGGTGATCTGCCCGCCTCGGCCTCTGAAAGTGCTGGGATTACAGGCATGAGCCACCGTGCCCGGTCTAAAGTCAGCTTCTAATGGGCATTCTCAGTAGGTGAGAGGACTCCAATAGTTTCAAGAGACCAATAACCAATGTAAGTCAGACACATGCTGTGGTTTGGAAGACAAACTGAAGACAGGGAGACAAGGATTGAATCCAGACTCTGCATGCATCAAATATGCATTCTTGAGTAAATTATTCACTCTCTCTGACTTTCTAGATCTTTATTTGTAAAATGAAGATAATATTACCACTTTGAGTCTGCACGCAAACTGCTCAACACAGTATCTAACAGACAGCAAACACTTAATAAACGGTAGCAGCTGTTGTTACTACTCTTGCTAACATGCAGGAATTCCAAGGAATAAACAACATCCCATTCTAATGAGACAATTTAATTCTAGAGCCACCTCAGATTTATAAGTATGTTATGATGGAGTAATTTCACAGCTTGGAACTTGTTTCCACATAGTTAAATTATGATAACATCTTAAGTGTTCAAAATATAGGAATTGATTACATAATATATGGTACTTACCATCAAAAGACACTACGCAACTACTGAATATGATATTGTAGAAGAAGATTCAATGACTAAGAGGCAATAATGTGCTAATTTTAAAAAACAATTTCCTAAACATTACATACATTTCATTATTTCATTTTTTGTATAAATATTTTCATTAAAGAGTCCTGAAAGATATGCATAAAATGTTATTGATTAGGATCTTTGATAGATAGAAGTACGAGTAAAATTAAATTTTCTTTTTATTTCTTTTCTCTAAATTTTCTGCAATGAATATGTATTGCTTTTGTAATAAAAAATTCATGTTATTAAAGAAAAGAGATACAGGGAGATGAAACAATTTTCTTGGTGACCTGAAGTATATTTTTTAAAAAACCAAGAGGAAAACCCAGATTTTTTACATCTGGAGTTGGCTAGAAATGTGATCCACATCAGATAATAAGGGAAGACAGTGTAGCAAGACAATAACAAGAACATTCCAACCATCACAAGATGGTTTCAGGTTAGGATACTTACCCATTTACTACACTCATATTAGAATCGAGCATATTCTGTGAATCATGCTATGACCATTTTATGGATTATAAATCCATACATTTTAAAATGTTGGTAGTTATTTACACTTGGTAACTTCCAATATTAGAAGAGCTTAAAAAATAACAGTTTGCCATCTTTGATTCTCCAGTGATCATTTGTTTTATATATAACCCTCCATGTTTGGGGCAGCAAGCGCAGAAAGTGTCACTTAAACGAGAGACATTGCCAGGAATCTGATTCACAAGTTCTGAGTCAGCTCTCGCCCCAATCTCTCAGTGTTTGTGACTCTGATTAACAAAGTCTGCACTTAGTCTAATTAATTCCCCTTTACTCTTTTTTTTCTTTTTTTTTTTTTTTTAGATAAAAAGGCATTTTTGTGTTTTCTCACTCCATTTGCAGTGGATAAAAATGGATAGACTCTTACCTTTCTGTTTGTCTTGGGGACTGTAAGTGCCAAGTGGATGCAGGGTACTGTTATCATTTCGCCTAGAGGTGGTTACAGCATTTTGACAGTTCTCAAAGCATGGCTTGGAAAATGCCCCGCACTCTGCAGGATCCTAAGAGATAAAAGTAAAAATTATATTTGCATTTTTAATACGTTCAAACTTGGTCAGTTGAAGCAAAGTGAAAGAATGATCGCTGTATGAATAGTCTTTCAAGAGTCTATTACACTTAAGTCCTCAATTCTGGAAACTCAAAATGGCCCTATCAGTGAAAACATCTTTGAGTATAAAATAAAAAGTACTGACAATGTGGTGCTAAGGATTAGGAGTGCTGATAGCCAACACAAAAGAGGATTAACTTTATTATTCTCTTTTACCACTTACAACTGGCTTCTTTCAAATTTTCTTCCATCTGGGAGTACAGCTTGTGGCAGTGTCAACACAAGAATACAGTTCATGCCAAGGGTGTTTCTCTGCCAACCAGCTGGTTCCTCGCTCTCTCTGCGCCTAAGTGCATATGCTCTAGGACAAGTCAGAACTCAAGCAGGTTCACCTCTGAAATGCCACCAGTGTGTCTCCGTGCAGATACTAGGTCTTTGGCCAGGAGCTAAATCAAACTGCTGTGACAACGCCAGACAGCAGTTCTCCTGAGGGTTTTCCCCCCTATATTTCCCCTTCCTATTTTGATTTTTACAGTCTGTAAACACATTCACAGTTTTCTGAAAACTGCTGTGTCTAGAATAACACCCCATGATCCATCTTCCACAGGTGCAGAAGAGGGAATTATTGGAGGAAGTTGATTATAGAGAACTCTTAACTATTTTTTTTCAAAAAGGTTGCAGCAAAGAGAATTGGGGTTTGCTCTTCTTCATATTATTTGTCTCAACAACAGATTTTAAGGAGGTAAATGATTTGGAAGCCATCTCATGACTGCTCCCTTGACCACTGGTGAGAAGAATGTACCACAAACAGCAGCACCCATCTGATTCCCAAAGCTCTTCTGAGAATAGCATTTGCCTAAAACAATGCACTGGATTTATATTTTCCTCTTTGGTTATAAAAATTCAGTGTCTAGCTAGTCAAACAAATACCTAAAACATTCCATTTTTGCATTCTTAATAATTAAAATGTTTTCAGCCGCTGAAGGTCCTTTAGCTTTTTGTCAAGGCTTGTAACACTTTTCCCACACCCAGTGTATTACCCTTTCTTCTGAACTGCTAGTCAAACTGAGCCTGGTATAGGAGGCAAGCTAGTCCTAAATTAAAGCTGTAGCTGTAGCAGGAAAGAGAGCTAGGGCTTGCTTTGCACAGCCTTGTGCTTTGATTTAACAGTAACAACAAGAACAAAAAAATTTTTTCTGCTTCCCCAGCTCTTTGATAAATGACACAATCAATATCCCAACAACTGATCAGTAACCAGCCTAATTAAAGTATTCAGCCTGTAAAATAGAGCCGTCGCAGAGCCCTCCATTAGTGTCCCAGCCAATAAAAAATATAATGGATTTTTAAACATATTCTGCTTTTGCCACGATGAGCTGGCAGCAGGGAGGGAAATGTTTTGGGGAAAGGAAAAACAAAATCAGGTCATAACCCATTTTTTAATACCAAGTCTCTAGGCTCAAATAGAATTACAATTGAACCTCAAGCTCATCCTTTGAAAAATATGTTTCTGTTTAAAATGATTCTGATTCAATCAGGGGCTCATTATGTATTCTTCACAAGGTCCTCATCAAAACTGTTTACATATCTTGTACATCTGGGTAATGTGGGAAAAACCCCAACAACTATATATTTTGACTTTTCTTAAGTAGCTTCTTCAGATTTTGAAATATCAATATAATGTTCAAGCAACCATTTTGGTATTCCTGGCAAATCTAACTAATTGATTTGCCTGAATGTATCAACAGTGCTGAGACCTTTTTTTAGGTTATGGATGCTTTTTATTGTACTGGAGGGCAAGTGCTGTTCCACCAGAGAATACAGCAAAAACACGAGCACACAAAATATGCTCTGACACAGTGAAACACAGCCATTTGAAGATCAAATAGTTGCATTTTTTTTTCAATTTAATAAAGATAAACTGTACATCAGTCTTCTGTCTTTATAAGAAATAATGCTCTTTAATCTTCATGGGTACTGCAGAGATGCTCAGTAGCTGAGAGTCAAGTGCCTGCTCATTCCCCATGGAAAGCATGTAAATATTAGGGAAACTAAAAATGGATCTTGTTTAAATGTCCTCACAGAAATTGCTTTTTGACCCAGTTCTTATTCTTGATCAATTTCCTGGTGATCTATACTAATATGACACTTCCGATGGCAGGCAACAAATGAGAGTTTCATACTTTCTTCTGATGGAATAATGCCAATCCACCCCAGAGTGTGAGAATTAAAATGAAAATACCTGCAGTAAAGGGGAATGCAAATAGTACAGTGTGCCAACTCAATGGGTCAAAATATATAATGCCTATCTGCTGCCACCTACTAACTCTTTTAGAACCACAGTTATTTCTTTTTTAACTTTTGCTATCTGCACAGGTATGTTATGCTATAGCAGTTTCTTCCAGACTCTTCTATTAGTTGAAGTATCTTTATTTAAAAAGTCTTAAGGGAGATCTGATACGCAGATGCACAGAAGGGATGACTCAGTCATTCACAGTTCATCCTTTCAACTCTCTCCAATAAATGGGTTCCGTGGAGTCCTGGGGCTCTAGAGTAAGAACCATCCTAAACCAGATGGGGCCAATTCTCTCAGGGCAGGAAGTAGCAGATAAGGGTGTTATAACTAGGTACATAAGTAAAGCCCATTAAACATTTATGGAACACTGTCACTTAAGCAGACACAAATGTTGAAAATAAGTTTATTATATTTAGTCTCCAGTAATTGGTCAATTTAAATGTATTTAACATCTATAAGCTTATATAAAGGAGAGTGTAAAAGGTACAGCTACTCCTTTCCAGTAGCTGATAATAGAACAAAGTAAGATAGAGCTTGTAACTTTAGCACTCAAGTTTACTCTCTGAGATGAAGTAGGTCTCAGATGTGACATTTTCATTCACTCAATATTTATTAAGCATCTACTACATGTGGGAAGCAAGGACACATTAAGGGATAAAACAGGCAACAATATCTGTCATCTATGAATACCGAGCACTCAATTATGTATGTACTTACACAGCCAGGAAATGGCAAATCTAGGATTGTAACCCAAGCAATTCGAAACTCCAGAGCTGAAGCTTTTAACTACAATGAGCCCACTACCATTAACTCCTGATTAACTTGATAAAGCTTTCATTTTTCAATTTTTAAGCTGAACTCTTTATTAACACTAGTATTTTATATTAGTTTTTTTAATAGATTTTTTTTTTAATTTTGTATATTATTGTATTACGCAAACACAATTTGGCCTTAGAGAATATCCTGATATGAGAAAATGTGTGATTTGTTGATGTTTTTCTTAACTTTTAGTACTATTAACTTTTTCTTCTTTCCTTTTTCTAAAATTATTTTATGAGCATTTAATAATTATTCTTCATATAAGAGAAAATAATGCTTTAGGTATTTTTATGTTTATATGTATAATGTTAGGAATATTATTATTAAAGCTATCATACACTTAGACTCCATGTGTAAGTGAAAATATTCTTGATATTTTAAAAAACTTATAAAAAATAATAAAAGATTTCAAAAAACAAGACTCCCATTTATTTAATCACATGAGCAAGCAGCTTGTTTAATAAATCAAATGTTAAATTAGTTAAGTCTCAGGTCTGTATTATTTATATGCAGATTATGGAAGAGAATACAGAGAGCTGATTGCATTATAATGATCTCCACATTAAACATTGTACACATGTGATTAGACACATTCTAAGGTATGGACACTGCTAGCATATCAACCAAAAAAGTATATAAAGATGTTTATGAACAAGTTCAGAATTCTTGGAATTTCTGGGGGAAAAAACTAGAAATCATAGACCTGTTACATCTGATAAATGACTTACTTTATATGCACATTTTTACACCTTTCTATTATACCTAAATTATACAACCACCTACTCCCCACATAAATCCATCAAAGCTCTTCTGGGGCATATTTTCTCTATACGAATCTAGCTGCCATACTAGGAATGGAAGTCTGCATATTCTGGTGGCAATTTGGGCAACTTGCTGAGGAGAATCAAGATTTGCATCACCTCCATTGGTCTCTCTGGCCTCCTCAAAATCACCAACTGGATCATCCCTCGGATGTTTCCCTCCATGGACATTGACCGCCTAAGTGTTTCCATAGCTTCGTGGTTGGATTTTCCCAAAAGAGATTCTCCATTAACTGCAATCAGCTGGTCATTCATTCGCAGACGACCATCCTAAGGCAGAAGAAAGAAAAACAGAATTCAACAGAGAAAAGTGTGGTGATGACATGTGGCATTTTGGGGAGAAGTTCAAGTTTAAAAACGAAAAAACAACAAAAAAAACCCCAGCTGTTAGTAGTGATTTATTTTCCATGGCAGAAAAAGGCTCTGGAGCTTATCAAATAGTCAAAAATACCAGCAATAATGAATTGTGTGAAAGTATTTTTTAGAAATCTTAGAGTCCTGAGCTGCAATAATGTAGACATTTGTATAATGCCTCTTACCTAAATCTTTGGCAAGCATGCTCATCTGACCTGATTCTGCCATTTGCTCTGGCAGAGACCGTGTTGTTGACTCAAGGGAAGGGGGTTTGGAAACCAAAGGAGGTGGTCACAACGAAAGGAGAATGTGCCTTTTCAGGCACAGACAGGCATCATGTATAAATGCTGTGTGCTTGACAGCAGTAATGTGTCTCCTGATATCATTGCCAGCTCTATTGAACAGTACTAAAAAGAACAACCACGTAATTTTATCTAACACAACCACAAAGTTGCTCATCTGCCAAAGAACACAGAGGTGTGTAGAAAAGGACCAATTTGCCCTGATATCTTCTGGTGGAAAAGTTTAACAAAAAGAATTGTCAAGGTTTTCTCGAAGAGGCTCTGATGAATGAGTACTTTCCACCAGCATCTTCAGGAAGAAATACCACTTACTACAAAGTAAAGAACCTCGGCATATGAATAGGCAGCCCAGACTGTGGTCTCATTCACTTTTGAGTGAATGAGACACTGACCATCTCCAGCCAGAAGTCCCTCATAAGCAGAGGCCTAGATTAGTGGCTGACACACTGGGATGCCTGCTCTGCCTAGAAAAGAACTTGAAGGGATCACAGTGCATTTCCCCAAGGCCGCCCGGGAGCAAAGACACATGAAATGCTGACAGTCAGACTCGGGGGACATGCTCTCTACCCATTCTACACTCAGGTAGAAAGTTCTTGCTATGAGGCACAGCTGTGATTAGGAATGTTATGCTGCTGCTGCTAATAAAGTTAACAGAAATAACCGTAGGTGTGTATAACAGTTTACCCTCACAGAGAATTCTTCCATAAATTACCCTAGTGATTCTCAGAGAACCTAAGAATTTAAGATTTTCAGAAACATTTTACAGAAAAGGAAACTGAGGCACAAAACGTAACTTGTTCCAGGCCACGAAAGCGAGTGAAAGGTTTCCATGAATCTTGACTCTTTAGTTCGTCCATGACAATTCCCTTTGTTTCTTATCTCTAGACTACAACTGTGCAACACTCAATTAGGGAAAGGAAAATACTACAGAGTTCTTGTGGTGAGAAGTATCTGGGATTTGTGGTCAAATTAACAGAATGAAATGTAAAAGAAAAAATCTTCCTAAGAAAGGAGATAGCCAGACACACACACTGAACAATAGAAACCAACCAGACAGCTTTGGGAGGGAAACTGTGTGGACAGGTCGTTAAATTTGGACTAATGCAGTAGCAGATGGCCTGAGGAAGTAAGTCCCTCTGCTGACAGTGGAGAAAAGGGAGGGCGGGGTGAGAGCTGCTGTTCCCCAGAGCCAATGCCCTCGTGAAGACACACTGCCCATGCCACCCGCTGGAGAGGGTGTTAGCCACGTGGGATTGCAGGGGCCGCCCACAGGAGGGCACACCCACTTGGGGAAGAAATGGAGATGGCAGGGTAATGGGATCAATAGACAAGGGCATCAAGTCAGAGATGTAAACCGTTTAAGTGGACTGCCTCCTCAGAGCTTAATGTCCCCTGCCTTCCTCTTGTTTTCCCATTTCACTTAACCTTTACCCTAATTTGAAGCGAGTCTGGAAATGAGATTTACAGGAAAGGCCAAACAAGAAAGAAATCTCTTCTATTATCCAATTTTGAGTGAGGCACAAAAAAGCATAAGGCTACATGAAATGGGATATGACAGGCCGGGTGCGGTGGCTCACACCTGTAATCCCAGCACTCTGGGAGGCCGAGGTGGGCGGATCCCCTGAAGTCAGGAGTTCGAGCTTGACCAACATGGAGAAACCCTGTCTCTACTTAAAATACAGAATTAGCCGGGCGTGGTGGTACATGCCTATAATCCCAGCTACTCAGGACGCTGAGGCAGGAGAATCGCTTGAACCGGGGAGGCCGAGGTTGTGGTGAGCCAAGATTAGGCCACTGTACTCCAACCTGGGCAACGAAAGTGAAACTCTGTCTCAAAAAAAAAAGGCAGGGGGGGATACGACAAAAACACCCTGAATGGTTTCGGTATGTGAAGTGAAATACAACCGGAGAAATTATTCTGCTCTATTGTCATATAAGAAAGGAGCACTACTGGACTGAATCTTGTTACTAAAAATCATTTTTGGATGAATGGAGACTGGTGTGTGGTTTTTAAAGAGGAGGAGGAAGCAGAAGAGTTGAATCCAGTTCCTGGTCCTAGTCCTGTTAACAGGAAATGAGGTTAACAGGAAATGTTCAGATTTTGCAGTGTTTTGTCTTGGCAGGACACCTCATCTGCTTCGACAGGAAGAAACAAGATAAAGATGGAAGCTTTATGGCTACCTCTAGAAATGGAGGGAAGGAAATATGAGTGAGATCTCACCTGGTAATCTGTTGTGAACCTTTTCTGTGAAGTATGAGGCAAGGTCAGAGTGAAGAGGTAGACAACAGACAAGAAGATAGGAGAACATTTTTTTGGTAAAATACATTAATAGTTATTAAGCACAAACTTTCTTTTTTTTTTTTTTCCAGTTACATTCTAAATCTCAAGCATGCAGAATGACACTGAAATAGGGCATGTTTCCTGTAACCAAGTCCCAAACAAAAAGACAGTTCGGGTCACCTCAGAGCAGCTGAAATTTTTTTTCGAAGACATTCACATTCATCACAAGCATCACCAGAGAGTTGTGGGTGCAATAAAAATCCACACACTCTCATTGTCAGGCTTGGTTGGTCTGTTGTTATTGGTGTGTGCTTTTTCTTTATAAGATAAATGATGTGTAATTTCATTAATGGTGATGCCAGTAAGCACCATGTTGTCCTAACATTTAGAATATAATCACAGAATTTAGAGCTGGAAGGGTCCTTAGAGGTCATCTTGTCCAACCTCTTCAGTTTACAGATGAATAATGTGATGCCCAGAGAGGATGAGAAACCATTTATCGAACACCTATTAGGATAAGGCACTTCCACAGATATCAGACTTGTTCAGCTAGTTAAGGTCAGAGTTGGAACAGAATAGCCCAAGTTCTGAATTCCACAGCATCCCTATTCACCAAACTATTCCATATTCTACATAGATGACGATGACTAGTCCCTAAAGGGGTAATGCTTCAAGAAAAAAAAGACTTTCAGAACCAGAGAGGACAATATGCCACCAGATGTCTCCTGGAAGGGAAGACAATATAAAATCCAGACACACAACAGAAGACATGGAGACAGGAAACGGTGCAGGGGCATGGCAGAGCAACCCAGAGGAGAGAAAACAAAGCCTGTCTGCCTACTTAGCTAGACATCCATACATGCATGTCTATGTCTAGTCTTGACCTAAAATGAAGTTGATTCAATGAGGAACTCATTATTCAAAAACTCATCAAATCTCCCTCAAAATTGTGTATGTCCCATTTGCTTTGGAATAATTTTGACAAAGAAAATTAGCTTTTTATGGTTTTTAAAATTAATTTTATATTCTAGTAAATATTTAGGTATGAGAATATTAACTTTCAATTGACTTTATGTAAATGAATTCAAATATTCAAGGATGTTACTTGGTAATTCTAGGATATTTATTTCATCTAGGTCATGCTTGCAATATTCTCTCTCTCACCCCTTTTTCTTCCTATATTACTCCCATCAGACTCCTAAGCAAAAAGACTTCAATTATGTTCCCTGCTTCTGGCATCCCCCCATAACCAACTCCATCCTCAAGCTAGAAAGGAGTAAAGGAAATTCCCAAAGGGAAGGAAAATATATTAAAAAGAATCAGGAGAACAGAGTAAAGACACAATGGAACTTCTTCAGTGCAGTTCAGAACAAAAAAACCTGGTACGAGGTTAGGTCTTCTCCATGTCCTGGCATGGTTTCAATCTCATCAGCTTTAGCTGGTCCTATCACAGTAGGATGCACAGAGGACCAGGAGACAAGACCTTTGAGTATGACATCTCCCTTTTACTGAACACCTAATGTAGGCTAGTCCTGGTGCACATCTTTTGCATGTATTTGCCCATTCATTTCTTACAGCAACCCTGTGCTATAAATGCTACTCTCTGCTATTTAGGAGATGTAAAGATGAAGGTCCAGAGAAATTAAGTGACTTGTCAAAGGGTATGGTCATAGCCAGGTCTCCTCATCTCTAAGGTTAATGACATGAATCCTTTATGATACGTTGCTTCTAAATTCAGACTTCTAGAGATGATTAAAGGCACTATATTAATGACAAAGAGTCTCTACTCTGTGCATCATGCTAAACCCTTTACATGTAGCAGACAATTTACTCCTTACGGAAACCCTGGATATTTGAGATTGCTGCCCCCATTTTATAAAAGAAGAAATTGCAGTCAGAGAGTTTAAATGAATTGTTACAAGTCATGTTTCCAAAAGCAGATGTGAACTTAGGTCTGGGTCACTCTGCAGCCCATGTTTTCAAACAATCTGCTAGTGATTCTTAGTCTTTACGGGCTCTTAGACTCCTTGGAGAATCTAATAAAAGCTACAGATCCTCGTTTTTAAAAAACAAATATTTACGCCAGGGTCTTTCCACAATTGTGCATTTGAGCCAGGTCATTCTCTGGAGTGAGGGGTCGTTGCGTATGCTGTAGGCTACTCCATGTGTCCTCTAAAGCATATTTATGATTTCTGGGTGGTCCAATGACCTTGTGGTACATTCACTGGTGCCTGGGTACTTTCTCTGCCATGATTACTGGCAATGTTGTGTGGCTTAATCCACCTGGCTTGGCAAATTTTTTGTTAAACCCTCCCCCCAACTGCCCTGTTACC